GACAGGCCCCGGTGTGTGATGTTCCCCTCCCTGTGCCCCACCCCCCGACAGGCCCCGGTGTGTGATGTTCACCTCCCTCATTGTTCAGCTCCCACTTATGAGTGAGAACATGTGGTGTTTGGTTTTCTGTTCCTGTGTTAGTTTGCTGAGAATGATTGCTTCGCCTTCATCCATGTCCCTGCAAAGGACATGAACTCATTCATTTTTATGGCTGCAAGATTTTGTTTTTTATAACTAATTTTAGGGCACAATTTGACCTCCATTGACAGCCTGTTTATATTACTTAATGTGAATATTTGTGGGTTTTGCCACAGAATATTGATGTGTTTGATTACATCATACTGTCTCAGCTGCCAGGAAGCTGATATACTATGTGGCTTTGCTTCTTAAACTTGAAAGATCAGTTTTGTTTTCATTTTCCTACAGTCCGGTACAGACAGATACTTCTGTGAAATATAATAAAAATGTTGCAGCACTATTGAACTGTTAAAGTTTCTAAACACTCTATTATCTCGTTGGAGATTGATAATAGCCAGCATAGCGCTGGCACTGGTCTACCGGAAAAACTGAGTATCACCGAGATACACGTGCACACGCATGCACACACGCACGTACACGCACCCCTACTGCCTTTGGATAAGAGGCTGTGGGTGACGTTGTCATTACTATTATCACTTCGTTCATATGTAGCTCCAAGCCAAGCTCCTTGTGTCTTGTTTTTGGATAGAGAACAATTAAGGCTGATTATATTTTTCTCTTGATTTCTACCTCCCTGTTAAAATTGACCAACTTCTAGTATAGGGAGTACTTGTTCTCTCCTAACTGAATGTTGAATTTGAGGCCCTGTGTTGGACACTGGAGTAGAAATTGTAGAAATAAAAGGAGTGATTATAAATAATGAACGCCCCTCCCTTGTCTCTTTTCTGGTCATGTTTTTGGCAGTAGAGTAAGACTCCCTGCTGTAAGTTCTGGTTGCCCGAGATGCTGCTGATGGAACTTTCTGTATCACATTTTCTTTTCTTTTCTTTTCTTTCTTTTCTTCTTTCTTCCTTTCCTTTCCTTTCCTTCCTTTGTTTTTGAGATGGAGTTTTGCTTTTGTCACTCAGGCTGGAGTGCAGTGGAACAGTCTTGGCTCACTGCAACCTCTGCCTCCCAGATTCCAGTGATTCTTCTGCCTCAGCCTCCCGAGTAGCTGGGATTACAGGCATGCGCCACCATGCCTGCCTAATTTTTGTATTTTTAGTAGAGATGGGGCTTCACCGTGTTGACCAGGCTGGTATTGAACTCCTGACCTCAGGTGATCCACCAGCCTCAGACTCACAAAGTGCTGGGATTACAGGGGTGAGCCATGGCACCTGGCCCACATTTTCATAAAAGGATCAAACTGTTTCCTACTTATAACCAGCAGTTTTTCAATTAAGTTTTTTATGTGCATCGTAAACTGCATTAAACAAGGTCTCATTGGGACAGATGCTGTGTGAGGCAAAGGAGAGAGCAGGAGGAGATTCCGTCAGCATGCAGAGCCTGTGTGGGGTGTTGGAACTTGGACCTGGACTCTGGCGGAAGCCACTGCAGGGTTTTAAGCTAAGGTGCAGTATGATCTGCCTTACCTTTTCATAGGATCATGGGTGCAGCATTGACAGTAAGCTCTGAGCACAAGGTGGAAGCAGAGAATGGACCAAAACGTAGACATTAAGAAAGAAAAATGTATGATGGATCAGGGAACTCTGGCCAGATGAGAATTTTTCCCAGAAGTGAAGGGCGTGAACTGCCAGGTTCAAAAGGAACAGTGTAAAGAAATTGAAAATTTCAGAAATGACTTATCATCAAGCTTCTCAGTGGCAGCGCTAGAAGCTAGCGTACTACTGCTTTTCGAAATGCAAGAACCTGACTTTGAGTCTAGAATTCTCTAGCCAAGGAGATCATTACAGAGTGAGGGTAGAACTATTTCTGGCAGGCAGAGTTTGCAATGTGTGTTCTGTGTAGACTCTCCAAAGACATTCCTAGGATCTGTGTTTTACCAGAGTGAAGAAGTGTAAACCCAGAAAGGGGAACATGGGAGACCCAGCATGAAGGAAGGCAAAGTAAGTTCCCAGGGTTATGATGAAGGGGTGAGAGTTCTGCGGCAGGCCCAGAAAGCAGAGTCCAGATTGGCCCAGATCACAGAGCTCTGGGAGGGAAGCCTAATGTGAAAATCAGACTCTGTGTAGGAGATTTGACTAAGGAGATTCATACTAAGCAGTGGCTTGCAGACAGAGCTCTTGAAGGAGGTAGGAAAACTTACAAAGATACTGAAATGAAAGAGGAGGAAATTAACTCCAGAGAATAAAACGAAATCCCGGTATCACGGTGCACTTCTTTGGATCGATAGAGAGCAGCATTGGAGCACAGATGGCCCTCAGCCTACAGTGGGGTTATGTTCCAGTCAGTCATTGTGAGGTGAAAACGTCGTAAGTGGGAAGAATGCAAGGCTGGCTGGGGCTGGGGCTTGCTGCCGCTGCCCGGCGTCGCTTTTACACCATGCTGAAGTCAAAACCTCCAGAGTCAACCATTGTAAGGGAACGTTTGTATAGCAAAGAAAGGGCATGTAAGTGCCTTTAAAGGGGCACTTTTTAAGGCTCTTATCCCTTTTTGGCTAGATTTGACTTTGACTCTGGAGGAAGCCACTGAAGACCCCATCTAGGGGCTGGGTGCGGTGGCTCACGCCCGTTATCTCAGCAGTTGGGGAGGCCAAGGCAGCTGGATTGCTTGAGCTTGGGAGTTTGAGACAAGCCTGGGCAACGTGGCAAGACCCCATCTCTACAAAAATAAAAATAAAAAATTAGCTGGGCGTGGTGGTAGTGCCTGTATTCCTGGCTACTCGAGAGACTGAGGTGGGAGGATCACTTGACCCTGGGAGGTCAAGGTTGCAGAGAGCCATGATCGCATCACTGCATTCTAGCCTGGGTGACAGAGCCAGACATTGTCTCAAAAAAAAAAAAAAAAAAAAATCTACCCTAATACTAAATCAGTAGGTAAAATGAAAAATTGATGAATCAAGGCCTACAATGTTTACATTCCTTTTTAAATTATTTTTATTTTATTTTTAGAGCAGAGTCTTGCTCTGTTACCCAGGCTGGAGTGCAGGGGTGTGATCATAGCTCCTTGTAGCCTCTGAACTCCTGGGCTCAGGCTGTTTCCCCGCTTCAGCCTCCCAAGTGGCTGGTACTACAGAGGCATGCCACCATATGTGTCTTTTTTTTTTTTTTTTTTTGGTAGAGATGGGTCTCGCTTTGCTGCCCAGGCTGATCTGAAACTTCTGGCCTCAACCAGTCCTCCCTTCTTGGCCATCCAAAGTGTTGGGGTTTCAAGTGTAAGCTGCTGCACCTGGACACATTCTTCTGCATATACTGAGATAAATATTAATAAAAAGAACCAAAAGCATTAAAAGTGGATGTCACTAGGGAACTGGATGAAGATGGGAGGTGGAATGTTTTTACTTATAGCCTTTTAGTACTTTTTAACTTTTCATCTGATCATCATGCGTAGAAATATGAAAACTCAGATTATTATTAAACTGCTCAAGATCACGTCTCAGGAAGTATTACTACCTGGCTCATCTAACACTCTTCTGTTCCAAAGAAAGATTTTGTTTATTTAAGGCCTTGTTCTAGAAATTATTTAAGATTATTCCTTTCCTTAGCTCAAACCAACTGCTTTCCGGTGCTTTAAAGTATCTTTAGCCCTGATGCTGGGTTTTTGTTTTTTTTTGTTTGTTTGTTTTGAGACAGAGTTTTGCTCTTGTTGCCCAGGCTGGAGTGCAATGGTATGATCTTGGCTCATTGAAACCTCTGGCTCCCAAGTTCGAGTGATTCTCCTGTCTCAGCCTCCCAAGTAGCTGGGGTTACAGGCAACCGCCACCACGCCCAACTAATTTTTTTTGTATTTTAAGTAGAGACAGGGTTTCACCATGTTGACCAGGCTGGTCTCGAACTCCTGACCTCAAGTGATCCACCCACCTCAGCCTCCCAAAGTGCTGGGATTATAGGTGTGAGCCACCATACCCGGCCACTGTTTTTAAAGTATTTCTTAAAATGTTTTTGTATTGTTTGTGCCTCGGATGCTCCTTCATAGTAAAAGCCCTTCGTGATTTTTTAAATGGCGCTCTGAATGCCTAGAACGGTTTTACCATGGAAATGGGAATATGGAAATCACCTTTAAAATAAAATGAGAGAAGGTGACCCTTTCTAAAATGATAGAGAACATCTGATGTTTGAAAAACAAGGGCTGCACAGAGCTAGGAAATGATAAGGTGTGGTGTGCAGATAGTTGGATGTATTAGATATGTAGGGACGGTGTGAAGGAGATGCCCACAAATTGGGACCAGATTAAAGTGGACCCTGAAAGCTTGAAGCTAATCTTGGAAATGTATTTTAGGCAGTCGAGAGCCAGCATAGGTTTTTAATTAGGAGAATGACAACATTTCACATCAAAACATGGAATTTTATATTCAGAGTGATGTACAAAATCCAAAATTTTGTGCACATCAGAGCTGTGTACAAAACAAATTGTCATAGAAAACAAACATGGAACATACTGTCTGAAAACATTAGTACGGATTATCTCTGCAGTAGGACCTTGGGTGACTTTTTCTCCTTTTTACTAGCAAAAATGTATTACTTCATTGTTGTGGGACAAGAGTACTTTATATGGACAGGCACAGTGGTTCACATCTAGAATCCCAGTGCTGAGCAGGAGCGGTAATCCCAGCACTCTGAGAGGCTGAGACGGGTGGATCACCTGAAGTCAGGAGTTCAAGACCAGCTTGGCCAACATGGTGAAACCTCGTCTCTACACAGATTAGCTGGGCGTGGTGGCATGCGCCTGTAATCCCAGCTACTAGGGAGCCTGAGGCAGGAGAATCACTTGAACCCAGAAGGTGGAGGTTGCAGTGAGCTGAGATGGCGCCACTGCACTCCAGCCTGGGCGACAGATCGAGATCTGTCTCAAAAAAAAAACCCCAGGGCTTTGGGAGGCCATGGTGGGAGGATCGCTCAAGGTCAGGAGCTTCAAGACCAGCCTGGGCAGCAAAGCAAGACCCCCATCTCTACAAAAACAGATTAAAAATTAGCTGTGTGTTGTGACATGCCTGTAGTCTCAGCTACTCGGGAAGCTAAGACAGGAGGATGACTTGAGCCCAGGAGTTCAAGGTTATAACGAGCTATGATAACACCACTGTACTCCAGCCTGGCTGACAGCCTGTCTCTAAAAATAAGTAAGTAGGGGCTGTGCACAGTGGTTCATGACTGTAGTCCCAGCACTTCGGGAGGCTGAGGCAGGAGAATCACTTGAACCTGGGAGGCAGAGATTGCAGTAAGCCGAGATCGTGCCAGCCTGGGTGACAGAGCAGGACTCCATCTCAAAAAGTAAATAAATAAGTAAGTAAATAATTATTGTCAGGCTGATGTTTTATTGTGAAATCCACAGCATCTGTTGCATTCTGCTTCTCATTCTTTGTTTACTGGAAGGGTAAATGTCCTGGGAACTTCCTTCTGTGAGAAAATTTGGGTGGCACAGAGGTTAAGGAACTTTCCGGAAGCACCTGATCTTCAGCTTGGCCTTATCTTCCACTTTGTTCTAGGATTGTTAAAGATTCATTCCAGTCAGTCCAACCCTCAGCAGGCTGTCCTGACGATTCCCAGCCAGCTCAAACCACTCAGCGTAAACACGTCTGGAGGGGTACAGACGATCCTGATGCCTGTGAATAAAGGTGAGTCCCTCACCCACGGGCCGTCTGCGCTGTGGCCGCCTCCACATCTCCCAGCATCTTCCAGGTGGTGACTGCCCTGCCTGTGTACAGCCGCCCTTCGGCCATCACGGTACTTCCTGCACCGTGAACGCTAGGCCACCAACACCAGGACTCGAAACCCAGATGTTTGTTGGCGTCTAAATAGCTGCCCTTTAATCTGGTTATTCTAGTTAGAAAATAAATAAATAAATAGCTGCCCTCTTGTAAAGCTGAATTGAGGGGGAGCATTTTAAGTGTTTTATAAGAATTTACATTAATTGGATTTTTTTTTTTTTTGAGACAGTTTCCTTCTGTCACCCAAGCTGGAGTTCAGTGGTGCAATCTCCGCTCACTGCAACCTCCGCCTCCTGAGTTCAAGCGATTCTCATGCCTCAGCCTGCCGAGTAGCTGGGACTGCAGGCGCCCACCACCATGCCTGGCTAATTTTTGTATTTTTAGTAGAGACGGGGTTTCACCATCTTGCCCAGGCTGGCCTTGAACTGACCTGAGGTGACCCACCCACCTCGGCCTCCCAAAGTGCTGGGATTATAGGCGTGAGCGACTGCACCCGGCCTGGATTATTTTCTTAGTTTAACGACAGGCTCCCGTTTCTACAGTTGAAGTTATACCTCCGTTGCCCTCATACCTAATCATCAGCCACTATGAAAAAGGGACTTTGCAGTTCCTGTTGTCCTGAAGTTATTTGTGCTGTTAGTCTACTATGGGCTTGTCACCTGGGAGTTAGATCACCCTCATTAAAGATAATTTCTGTATTTGTTGTATCCCTCCCTCCTTTTTTCCCTTCAGTGGTTCAGTCGTTTTCTGCCAGCAAGCCACCTGCCATTCTGCCTGTAGCTGCCCCAGCTCCAGTTGTCCCCAGCTCTGCTCCAGCAGCTGTTGCGAAAGGTGCGTGGGATCTCACAGAGTTTTCGTCCAGGAGTTTTGTATTTATCCTTTTTGTTGTTGTCATTCATGTTCTCTCATGATGTCCAGGAGTTTTATGCGGGATATTACTATAATCTGAATCCTTTGAATTTTCAGCATTTGCGAATCAGCCACTTGGCAAATATGTACTAAATGCTCATATGGTAGACTTAACATTGAGGGAAACACAGAGATGTATAAGGATCATTACTTCCCTTCAGTAATTTATAATCAGGTTGAATAGAATTGCTGTAGACAGCAAGCGGTGATTGATAAACACAAGACATGTGGGGCCAGGGAAATTATTGCTGAAATATCGCACCCTGGGGTGTCTGATCGGGGTTGGCAGGGGGTGTGGGGAAGGGCAAGACTTTGTATTGAGGATGGATTATAACCTGGACTTTAAAAGAGTAGAGGTTTTTAGCTGTGGAGAGGCAAGGGCTGTGCCAGATTAGGGGCACATTAGAGACCAAGACTCAGCTTCCCCTTTGGGGAAGTGGCCAGTTAGAGGGACTGTTTTGCAATAAAGGAGGTTTAGGTAGGGACCAGACTTTGGCCCACAGGAGTAGATCAGGATAGCACGGTGGATTAGAGCAACACGTGTGACCTTGATAACATCTCCAGTAACATTGATAGCTCCTGTGTGTTAATACCCTGCAGTGGACCAGTCACCATACTAGCTGCTTTGTATATATAACTTCTTCTTAATTCAGCACTTCAGCATAGCTCTTATGCCCATTTTGCAGATGAGGAAACCAGTTTGGGGATGTAAGTATATACGTCCCAAGTTCAACAAGCCAGAAAGCAGTAAAACCAGAAATTGAAATACACATTTGTCCAGTCCCATACCATGCTGCTTTTCAAGCATGCCGGGATCTCGCATGTTGGGAAGGAGGTGGCTTTGTAACTTACTAAAGAAGGATTTGGCAGACTGTGGCCCACTGCCTGTGTTTATGCATAAAGTTTTATTGGTACATAGCCATGCCCGTTTATTTACACACTGTCTCCTCAGACTTTCGCACTACAACCGCAGTTTCTACAGACATCCAATGACCCACAAAGCCTGAAATATTTACTGATTTACTTAGCATAGAAAAGGTTTGCCAACCCCTGGCCAGAAGATAGCTCATGAAAGAATAGCGTCAGTCTGGACCAGTATTTCTCAATAGGAGGGACATATTATAGGCCTGTCTCACACAGATTCTCAGTCAGTTCATTTTGGACTGGGCCAGAGCATATTTGTTTTGATTTTAATTGAAGTAAAATGTTGTTCTAGTTACTTTTTGTATAAACCTGGCCATCTCTACCTCTTGATGGGGTAATACCTCATTAAGAGTTAGAGATAGCCAGGTATGGTGGCTCTTGCCTGTAATCTCAATACTTTGGGAGGCTGAGGCTGGTGGATCATTTGAGGTCAAGAGATCAAGACCATCCTGGCCAACATGGTGAAACCCTGTCTCTACAAAAAATACAAAAATTAGCTGGACGTGGTGGCCTGTGCCTGTAGTCCCAGCTACTCAGAAGTCCGAGGCAGGAGAATCACTTTAACCCTGAACCCAGGAGGCGGAGGATACAGTGAGCCGAGATTGCACCACTGTACTCCAGCCTGGGTGACAGAGCGAGACCCTGTCTCAAAAAGTGTGGTTTGATTAGCTTGGAAATATCTAAGCACAGTGGATCTGATCTTTCTGCCTTATGTCTCAGAACACTGAGATAATGCTGAAAGTTGAAAAACTAGCTGGAGAGATGATGTTGAAAAGGTTACAGCATTAGAAACTAGAACAAGCCAGCCTTGTACTTCAGTGTTGGTAAATCATGTGTGGGAGGGGTCTCACATAGCAGTGTGGGTGGTGGCCCTTTAAGAAATATCTAAGGAGCCATTTTATTGCCCCTGCCCTGTCATGAGACTGGAGTTGTCCCCCCGCCGAGACCCAGGCTAACAGTTCTTCCCTTGTCTGATAACCCTGGGATGGTAGGAGCCATCTCAGTCTCCTGGCTGTGTCCCCACAACAGCTGGAGTGGCAGTTTCCTTGCAGAGCTTCACTGCAAGAGCTTTGTCTCTGCCTGCACGTGTCTTTCCACCGCTGACCCCTAACAGCTGCCTCTTTGTTGCTCTTCCTTTGTAGTGAAGACTGAACCAGAAACCCCTGGGCCAAGCTGCCTCTCTCAGGAGAGCCAGACAGCAGTGAAAACAGAAGAAAGCTCCGAGCTGGGAAACTATGTCATTAAGTAATTCTGCCAATCTTTCCTAAAGGAATTCCGCTTCGGGTGTTTGAGGCTTTCTGAAAGTCACCCCTGTGACAGCTGAGTGTGTGCAGAGTTGTGTGTGTAGTTCTAAGCCCTTGATGGGAGGAACTGTCCATCCCTGTGCGGTGGACAAGTATTGTCACTTGACACACGCTGAGGGTCATCATTTTATATAGTGATGTGACTGGACGTGGCATGTGATTTGTAGCCTTAGAAGCCTCAGATGGGGTTAGACTTCCCTTCAGTTGAGCTTGCCAACATGGGCTTTCTCTGCTGAGTCCTTGGGCACAAAGTTTCTCCTGTTGCCATCTCTCAGGTGTGTACACCCTTTGTGACTGAGTGTCCACTCACCTGCCTAATCTTAGCTGCCTCTTCATGAGCCATACACACTCTTTGGTTCTTCTCAAAATGCTTCGTGAGGTTTTCTAATTTCTAAATCAGGAAGCCACTTCTAACCAGCTACTTGTAAGTATCTGAAACTGCCGGGGACAGTAGAAACTTAGCCACTTTAACATGGTAGATGGAGGCGGGAACTGTAATAACCCTAAAATGGGTATGCAGAATTTTTCTGCCCTAGTAGCAATCTGCAAAAAGATTATATTGCTATTTAATTTTGAGGTGTAGATTAAGTGTCTGTAATATTTGCATAATCTTCTGTTCCTGGGATCTTATTTATTTAGCCTTGACATTTTAAGTATAGAACACCCTTCCTTTACAAGGAAGGTAATCTATGGAACGAAAGATAGGCTAACATGATGATTTTACATTTTAATTCCCTCAGAACAGAATATATACATTAAATACATGACATATATATGACTATAGAATCTGCTACAGGTATTTAATTTATTGCCTGAATTTTTTTTTTTTGCCCTTTCAGGCTAGACCATTTAGAGACTATCCAGCAACTCTTAACAGCGGTAGTAAAGAAGATTCCGTTAATCACTGCAAAAAGTAAGACAACTACACTGAATATAGGGGTGAATTTTTAAAAGCTGTGAACTTAAGGTATTGAGTCAACTGAAATCACTTGGGATTGTAAATTAATATTGATATGCAGTTACTTTGTAAGGTTTCAGCTAGAGATATAGCTCATATGCAGGGGTTTTAGAATCGACATCCAGTTTTTTATTGTTTTTACTGTGTTGATCTGTAGAAGGAATGTTTTACATTTTTCGTATGTCAATCATAAATTGTTAACGTGTGCAGTTAAAACTCTGCATTAGCGTTTGGTGTTTGAGTGAGGGATGCATTTAGCATTTCCTGCAGTGCACCAGGTCCTGTGTAGGCTTAGGATGTTCACTGTCTCGTGTGAGCCCAGCCTCCTGTGTGATAGCTGGTGTCATCTCCATTTACAGATGAGGAAACTGAGGGTTAGCAAGGTTGACTAAGTTGCTCGAGGTCGCATAGTCGTGGCTGGTGAGACAGGAACCAGACTGGCTCTGCTTGATCCTAAGGCCGTTCATCTTTCCTCTGAAACTCAGTATGGCACACTGTAGAAATGCACAGGTTATAAGACCTCCAAAAGTGGCGTGCTTTATCACTACCCATCAGTGATTTGCTGCTTAGCCTCAGTTGTTCTGACAGAATTCATAGCCCTTGCTGATGGGCAGCAGCCTGCAGACACAGGAGCGTGCTCGTGGGTAAGATCACGATGCATCCTCAGAGGGAAGCCACTGGCAACCTCCATGCCGCCTACATTTGTAGGGCTCTGAACACGCACGCCAGGTACAGACCACCTATTTACTTTTTCCAGCTGTAATAGCAAAGCAGTAATCTCTTTTCTCATAAGGTAAAGTTTGGGGGATCATTTTGATATAGCTTAGAGTAGATGTTTAGTGAGTTTCCCAGCCTAACAGAAGAAATTCAAACAAAAAAAATCTCTCATATATATATGTACAGACAGACACACACACACATACACACACTCACACTTTTCTCTCTCATTAAAAATACAGAATATAAGAGCTGGAAGGTAGCTCAGAAACTGTCTTCCCAACTTTCTCAATTTATAGATAAGAAAACTGAGCTAGCCACGGTGGCTCACGCCTGTAGTCCTAGCACTTTGGGAAGCTGAGGCAGGCGGATCACCTGAGGTCAGGAGTTGGAGATCAGCCTGGCCAACATGGTGAAACCCCATCTTTACTAAAAATACAAAAATTAGCCAGGTATGGTGGTAGGCGCCTATAGTCCTAGCTACTCGGGAGGCCAAGGCAGGAAAATTGCTTGAACCGGGGAGGCGGAGGTTGCAGTGAGCTGAGATCACGCCACTGCACTCCAGCCTGGGCGACAGAGCAAGACACCATCTCCCACAGCCACCTTGTGAGTTAATGGCAGGCCCAGGGCTCCTAGTGGAGCCACTACTTCCACAGACTTTAACAACTTTATGGCAGTGATTACCTTCTCTACCAAAGAGGCCAAGCTCCCAAGAAGGGGTGTTGCTTTGGGTACATACGACAGGACACCTTTTTTTCTAAGGAGATGCCCTCCTGTATTAGGCTGCATCTGAGCTTGCCCAGGAAGGAACATACCTGCAATAAAGAGGTCTGAAGAAGTTACTGGCTTGCCTCCAGCAAATGACATGTGATTTGAATCATAAGTGCTTTATTCAGGGTTTGCTCGGTGTGTGCATTCTAGGTGAAGATGCCAGCTGCTTTTCTGCAAAGTCTGTGGAGCAGTACTATGGCTGGAACATTGGAAAAAGGAGAGCCGCCGAGGTAACCCCCGTCTGCCTGTTTGACACGCAGGCAGAACGCGTGTCCCTTCTGGCTGCCCCCAGAAACCTTTTCTTATGGAACAGGGATGCAGATTGCAACACATTTTGTTAAAATATTCAGTGGCAGAATATTTTCCTCAGTTAAAAGAAGCTCATTTTTCAGAGACCTGTATCCAGTCGGCTTTCAGGGCTGCCGCCTTTTCTGCACTGGTAGAAACATCCCTCACGTTTTCTCAATTTTTTTCTGAGTTTCAGAAGTTTAAATGAACTAAAGTATTGAGTCCTTACAGCCTGGCAGCTGCTCTGCCGGTGTGCTGTGGTCGGGAGCAGCCTCTGCAGCACCTGCCCAGGGAGTAGTGGAAGGTGCTGGGGTCTAGGAGTTGCTGTTTTACTTTATAAGCATTCGGGAGCTGGTAGAAGTTCTTTAAGTGGGGAGTAACACAACCAGGAATTTTTTTTCTTTTTGCTTTTCTTTTTGATTTTTCCTGAAAAATCGGGTTAGTCCTTAATACTAGGAGTGGAGATGGCCTGGTTTTTGGTGGCAGAAGTGAGAATTCCATGCTGTTTTGTCTTAGATGGCAAAGTGTGTGTGTGTGTGTGTGTGTCTGTGTGTGTATATATATATATATATATATGAGAGAGATTTTTTTTGTTTGAATTTCTTCTGTTAGACTGGGAAACTCACTTTTATTTTTTTTTTTCCGAGACGGAATCTTGCTCTGTAGCCCAGGCTGGAGTGCAGTGGCGTGATCTCGGCTCACTGCAACCTCCGCCTCCCAGGTCCCAGTTCAAGCAGTTCTCCTGCCTCAGCCTCCCGAGTAGCCGGGATTACAGGTGTTCGCTACCGTTCCCAGCTATTTTTTGTGTCTTTAGTAGAGACGGGTTTCACCATGTTGGCCAGGCTGCTCTTGAACTCCTGGCCTCGTGATCTGCCCACCTCGACCTCCCAAAGTGCTGGGATTACAGGTGTGAGCCACCGCACCAAGCCGGCTTTTTTTTCTTTTAAAAAAAAAAAAAATTCTAACAGGTTAAGTAGCATGGTGATTTATGATTGCATGATATGTAGTTGTATTAAGTGGAAGGATTTAATTATGGTTCCAAAAAATATATTTTTTTAAAGTGGCAAAGAGCAATGACAATGCGAAAAGTCTTACAAGAAATCCTGGAGAAGAATCCAAGATTTCACCACCTGACTCCCCTCAAAACCAAGCACATTGCTCACTGGTGCCGCTGCCATGGCTACACCCCACCGGACCCCGAGAGCCTGAGGAGTGACGGGGACTCCATTGAGGATGTGCTGACCCAGATCGACAGCGAGCCCGGTAAGCCTGCGGTGGCACTGCCCCGAGCGCCTGGCAGCCTGGGGCATTCGCTGGAGTAGAGAGAGGTGAGGACTTGGAAGAGGTGCCACAGAGAACAAGAGCCTTTGCCAACCCCTGCCAGGTCCTCCCCGGGACCGTACAGTCCCTGTGTAGCTGTGTGTACCCAGGTATCTCAAGTGTTGTGCCACAGCCACAAACGTCCCTGCCCGGCCCAGCATCATTTCTTCTTCAAAGACTCCTAATCCATCTCCTTTCCTGCACATCCAAGCAGCTTCCCCATCTTTTATGACCTTAGGGACACTCCCCCCCGGCCAGCCCCAGACAGGTCTGTGCTATTTCTGTGAAGGCGAGGCCTGTCTCTCATCTGTTACTTCATGTCCAAGCCTAGCTCGGAGAATAGCACCTGTGTTGGAGGCACTTGTGAAACTGTTGTGGGTAATGTTGCTGGTGAGACGAACTGTTTGATGATTTGCATATACGAGCCTTCCTGTTAATCTCACGGGTTGCACACAGCCCCTAACCTACAATGGTTTGACTTGTGATTTGATTTTGTGGCTTTACAAAGCTGTAGGCATCAGTACACCCCTCGACTTATGTGATTGTATCCAGATAAGGCTGTTGGAAGTTGAAAACATCCTAAGTTGAAAAATGCTGTTTTCAGCTTATGATGGGTTTTCACGTAGCCCCATCCATGGTGAGTCGAGGAGCAGCTAGAACTTGTTAGAGCCCAGTCAGTAAAACAAAAGGCCAGGGGCCGGGTGCCCTTAGCCTTGTACCTGGTGTGGCCCTCACACACTGGTCCGGAAGTGGCAGTGCCCTGGGCCTGGCTTTATAGTCCTCACACGCTTTACCAGGCTTTGTATAAATCGCCTCATTAGAGACTGGACGCATAGTCTACATGGAAATGTTAACAGTCCTGCTCTCTGAGCAGTGAGAATAGGGGTGATCCTTTTTATTTTCTTCACTCTGCATTTCTAAATTTTCCAGATTTGAGATGAAGAAAAATCAGGTTAGTCCTTAATACTCAGAGTGGGGATGGCCTGGTTTTTGGTGGCAGAAGTGAGAATTCCATGCTGTTTTGTCTTAGATGACAGTTACCTTACATACAGCACACACAGGATGCCTGTCTTTGTGTCTTTCTCCCTCATGAATTACTAGTTCTCATCATTACAGATCCACAGAATTTTAGAGTAGAAAGGTCAGCTTCCCTGATACATATCCCCCTTCCTCAGGCCATGGGTCTCATGGAGACGGAAGTCCTCTTGCTTTGTCCCCACAGCCATCGTAACACTGCCGCCTTTCGTTTAGAGTGCCCGTCGTCATTCTCCTCTGCTGACAGCCTCTGCCGCAAACTGGAGGACCTGCAGCAGTTCCAGAAAAGGGAGCCCGAGAATGAGGAGGAGGTGGACATCCTCAGCCTCTCCGGGCCAGTAAAGACAAACATCAAGAAGGAGCAGGAGGAGAAGCAAGAGGAAGTCAAGTTCTTCCTGCCCCCAACCCCAGGGTCGGAATTTATTGGGGATGTCACACAAAAGGTAGGGGTTGTGGTGGTAATAGTTCATGCAGCACACCAGACTCGGAGCTAGATATTCGGACATTCAGTCTCACAGACCCAGACCCAGACCAGACTCAGACATTCTGCCTCTCAACAACCAGACCCAGACGTTCAGCCTCTCAGACCCACACCCAGATGTTCAGAGGTTCTGCCTGGTTGACCCAGGTTGCTCTCTGGGCTCCCCGCTTCCTGCATCAGCGCCCTGGGGCAGGAACACTGATGACACGTGAAGAGGTTGCTTGTTGAACGCAGACTTGAGGCACAGCTGGCTGGATATGAACAGTTGGCTCTGTTTGATCTCATTTCTCATCTGCCTCAGGAGAAGCACCTTGCCCTCATGAGGCATTTCTGAGTTGCGCTTCAGCGAGCAGTCCTCCCCCGCTGTGTGTCTGGGTCCTGAGTGCCCCTACCTTATTACACAGGCGAGAGGTGTTTATTGCCCTGCTGAGGCCTCATAGCTCGTCGGCATCTGTCCGTGCTCAGGGCCCAAGGCGGAAGAGTGCGCTTTCACTGGATGCCATGAAAAATGGGCAGGATGCTGTGTCCAAGTGCAAACAGGAAGTGGAGTCTGATTCCAGAACTTCCAGAGCGTTGGTCGCTTAGCAGAACTCAGGGCAGATCCCAACCATGTTCTCCCATGAAGGAGATTTGAGAGTTAAATAGGATCACAGTAGCATTTTAAACAGTTGGTCAGAAATGTAGAAAAACGAGGTAACATATTCTTCTAGTTGTCATATTCTGTGTTACTCTCCTGTGAATCTTGCCCAGCGTGTTTATCAAGTCCACCTTCCAACCAGGCATCTCTTTGGGTGTCTGAGAGGTGTGCGTCTTCAGAGATAGGCTGTTTTTAAAGTAGTGATACGAACAAATGGCTTTCTTCTGCTTTTCCAGATTGGGATCACACTGCAGCCCGTGGCGCTCCACAAGAACGTGTATGCATCCGTGGTGGAGGACATGATCCTGAAGGTGGGTGCCTGCAGGGGCTGCCGACCCCACAGGAAGCATGGCTGCATGCCAGGCGATCTGGAGTAAGGGCCAAGGACAGAAAAGGAACAAAGATAACAGGCTTTAAAACTTCTCATCTTCTTTGGGCCTAAGTTCTCCTTTTTGTTTTTCTTCTTCTGATTTTTCAGTGGACTAAGTTATGTTTCCTCTAAATGGTCATGTCACTCTGAGGACATATTTTTTCCCGTGGTTCCAGGTGCTTCCTCAGACGTGTTCTGGGGTGGTGGTCAGCGTGCTCGTTGCTTTAGGAGGCGGCAGGGACAAAGCCGAGGGCTTTTCCTGCGTGTGTCCACAGTCAGCAGCCCCAGCTGTCCTGAGCCTGGCAAGGGGACGGAAATGCCGCAGCCTCTTTCCCCAGCCTGATCCTAGCTCAGCATTTCCTTTCCCCGTGGATGCTCTCCAGGAATAGGGATACCTCAGTAACAGCCGCTTTCCTTAAAAACAATGTCTGGGGCTGGGCACGGTGGCTCACGCCTGTAATCCCAGCACTTTGGAAGGCCAAGGCAGGCAAATCACTTGAGGTCAGGAGTTTGAGACCAGCCTGGCCAACATGGTGAAACCCCGTCTCTACTAAAAATACAAAAATTAGCTGGGTGTGGTGGCGCGCACCTAGTGCTCCAGCTACTTGGGAGGCTGAGGCAGGAGAATCGCTTGAGCCTGGGAGGCAGAGGTTGCAGTGAGCTGAGATCATGCCACTGCACTCCAGCCTGGGGAACAGTGAGACTCCAACTCAAATAAGTAAATAAATAAATAGAACAATGTCTGAATAATGAAAATCACTCTAGTTCATAATTTCTCAGAATCAGGGCCTTTATCATTTATGGTCTATTATTGAGACCTTTAATTTTTCATTAAGGACTTTTTAATTCTTAGTTGCAGTTGTTTCAAACATTTGGGGTAAGGGATGGGGTCAGATGCGTCCCTTCTTACCAGCAAGCAGATGGCCATTTTGAAGAATAACAGCATTTTCTATTGTAGGCTACAGAACAGCTGGTGAATGATATCCTGAGACAGGCCTTGGCAGTTGGATACCAGACAGCTTCTCACAACAGGTATTGCTATCTCTGCAGTCTGTGGTATGAGGCTTACACCTCTTTCCTCACAGTTGAATCGCCCATGAAGGTGTTTTATATGACGTCAATCCAGTAGGAGATGGCGTGAGAGCTAGGACACTCTCAGAGCCAGATGTCTCAAGGGTCTGCCCTGTCACTGTTGAGAACCTCGTGGTTGCTCAGAGGGTTCTGTCCTCCCCCACATTCCTTCACAGACACCTGGGACTCTGTTTTGTTACAGGGTTGAATACGTATTGGCTTTGTAACTGCAGTGTCCATTACATGTCAGACATGAGGGCCAGACGTTGTGTATATTACCTAGTTTTTCGTTGCAGAACTATGATTCCCTTTTTAAAAACCAGGAAACCAGGTGTTGAGAGGTGATCTTGCCCAGCTTTCCCAGCAGATACAGTGTAGATCTGGGTCCCAGCCCAGGGCTCTTGGCACTGAAGCCCCGGCTCACCACCGCCCTTTGCTGACTCTCATTGTCTCTGATTGAGACACTGAGTTTCAGTCTTTTCCTGGGCCCTAAAAGGACAGGAGATAGGCCACATTTGCTTTGCTCTCAGAGGAAACGATTATTTATTGCGTTATGCTAAAGGCTGTCACAGACTTACAGAACTGTAGCGGAGTGCCCGAGGACATCATGAAGAGGCCTAAATATCAGGGGAGTATTAGATAAAACTTCACAGGAATATATCAGACAACATAAAAGGAAGGGGAACCAAGAGTTCCGGTCCTGCCGCCCGCCATCCTCCTTGACCCCCAAGTGAGCCAGGGGCGTCCTGTGGCCCCTGCCCACCTCCGTGGTCCCTGTTCTGGAGGGGTAGAGTGACTGGGGTGCTTTTGATGGAACAGTTCACATCACGCCTGGCCCGGTGTGACTCTGTCTCCCCTCTCTCCAGGAGATGGGAAATCGGGTCCCAGGGTTTTGCGGTGCTTTGACTCGGCTCTCGGTGTGCTGAGATCACTCACTGGTGTTTGTGTTCTGCCATCCACTTTCTCTTTTCGCAGTCCTCAGAATCTTTTTTCTTAATCGTTCAACCAGGTTTTGATACCCTTCTCAGGCCTGTGAGTAGGAAGGCAGAGGGGAGCCCTGACTAGCGCCGCGACTGGGGGGAGGGCACATCTCCCCTCAGGGTGCCCCTAAGCTCTGCCTGTGGCTCAGGAGCCCTCTCCCAGGGCCTCTGCCTGGGATGGTCCCTGCGGTGAGTTAAGTGAGTAAATGAGGTATGTGTGAGAGAATTTCACCTGGTAACACCTTTGTTTTTTGGACCAGGATTCCCAAAGAAATTACAGTGAGTAATATTCACCAGGCCATTTGCAACATTCCTTTTCTGGACTTCCTCACGAACAAACATATGGGAATATTGAATGAGGACCAGTGAACGGAGTGAGGTGCCCCTGGAGAAGCAGGATTTGAAGGCGCAGCGATGCTGAGGACCTGCTGCTCGGGGCGGAGGGGGTTTCCGGCGCGCCTTGGGATGTTACGGCTACCCAGCCATTGCTGCCACCTCCTCCCGATTTCCCGCAGCGTGCTCCCTCCAGACGAAGTCCTCCTAGGACAGGAGTTTGTTTTCTGAGTGTGGAGGGAAGCTGTGAGTGGATACCTGCTTTGTTGGCCAGTGTTTCTGCCGACTCTGTAAAGGCCCCATGAGAGCCGGGCCAGGCTGTGTGCCTCAGGTCCTCCCTGGGTGTGCTCAAGGGGGCTCCTTGGGCCCGCCTCCCCACGAGATAGAAAATGAGTGGCAGGCTGGAGATGTCACCCATTTTGTGGGCTGGAGTTAGCAGCAGCTCCAGCAGTTACCCTGAAGAGAGACTGAGCTTCAGCCAGCGAGTGGTTCTCTCCCCTGCCTGGCCTTGATGTGATGGGACTGTACTCAGCCCAAGCGAGTCAGCTACAGGAAGAGGCCATACCTAGAGCAAAGAACCATGGAGGCCCGAGAGACTGCAGACTGAGAATTCCCTTTTGAGCACAGGAGCATTACTAGAACCACTGTCAAAGCAGTGGCAAGGGACAGAGAGACCCCAGCATGGGCCAGAAAGAGGTTTGATTGATTATAACCAAGAAAGCTCTGACTATGCTAGGAACACAGGGCAGCGTGCACCAGTCCCAGACACTTGGCAGAAGTGTAGCTGCGTGACGTGTGTGGAGCAGATCGCAGGCTCCACACTGTCTGCACAGTCTGCAGGAGCTTCTGCTGCTGACCTCGTGCTGAGTGGGCAGTGGAGAACAGCCCCCCTGCTGGGGTCGCCTATCTTATCCATGGATCATGTATCCTCTTCTCTGTTTTCCCAAGAAGAAGAAAGTATTTAAAAGAAACACCAGTGAGTGCCTTAAAGTTGGGGAAGTAACTGCCCATACCCAGAAGCAGCGAGATTAGGCTGTGTCCGGAAGCAAAGGTCCCCTTGATGGGAGGGAGCAGCAGGCAGGGGAAGGAGGGAGCAGGTGGCGCTGCCCAGCGCCCAGGCCACTGGCGGTGCCCTGTCCCAGACTTCCTAACGCCCTGTGTGGAAGGGAGAAGAAAGGATGCATGCTCAGCCAGAAATCTACTCCTGTTCCACTCAAGGAAAATCAGAAACCTGTGAGTCAGAGTCAGAGAAGCTTATCCAAGCAACAGAATTCCTGTGTTCATGGGTCCTGCAGAGGTTTGAGTCAGGTAGATAGGGCAGGGAGTCACTGAATAAAATCTGCCTTTTAAATTCAGCATCTGGGCCGGGCATGCTGGCTCACAGCTGTCATCCCAGCACTTCGGGAGGCCGAGGCCGGAGTTTGAGACCAGCCTGACCAACGTGATGAAACCCCATCATCTCTACTAAAAATAAAAAAATTAACCGGGTGTGGTGGCGGGCACCTGTAATGCCAGCTACTCGGGAGGCTGAGGTAGGAGAATCACTTGAACCCAGGAGGTGGAGGTTGTAGTGAGCCGAGATGGCACCATTGCACTCCAGCCTGGGGGACAGAGGGTGACCCCATCTCAGAAATAAGTAACTCAGCATCTGAGGGCTGCAAGTGCAGAAGGAATCTATTCTCAGTAGGGCATGGGGCACACACTGGCTTAACAGTGAACGGCTATAAGCAAGGTTCATAGGGAAGTGGGTAGATTCCTTCTGCTAAGTGGACTGAGGGCCACAGGATGGAGGGAGGAAGATCGGATGCAGATGAGAACAGATTTATTACAGGTTTGAAAGCCTAAAGAAATTATCTTTTTGCAAAAGAAACATTAAATGATTTAGCAGTCTCCACATGTGTTAATGTTTCAAATGTTTATCATAATGTGTATAATTGTGTAACAAAATTGTCTACAATAAATCTTTTGGTATTTGCGGTGGGTCTTTCTGAGTTTGAAGTGCTGTACTCAGGGTTCCCCTTGCACTAGGATGAGGTGATGGTGTAGGTTTTTATTTGTATGTATGTTTAAATTCCTCTATTTCTTGCCCAAAAAAAAAAAAAAAAAAAAAAATTGCAACCATACAAGATAAAGGATTACAGTTACGTAAAAGTCTAAAAAAACAAAATTGGAAATGAGCATTATTATTTCTGACAGCTTGGGGCAAAAGAAAACTGCATAAATGAGCTCAGAGCTTCCTTAAAGCCAAGGCAAAGAGAGAAATCGGCTCCGAATGTCTAACAAAGAGACATACCGGTTTATCTGGCAGGATAAAATTGGACCGTGTTGAGGTCTGAAAGAAGTTACTCCTGTGACAGTCATGCCGTGACCATCTGCTGCAAAGCATATGGCTAAAAAATAACGAAAAATGCAGATACAAGCTGAAAGATTTTGAAAGCTTTGGTTCTGTAAAGGCGAGAATTTCTGCAAGGAGGCATCATGATCCAGTCCAAGCGTGTAACTTTCTGGGGACCATATTTCACTGAGTCAGAACGGAGAGATGAGCGGGCTAGAGTGAGTCTGGGAGTCGGGTGTGCCTGGGCTTACCTTCATACATGTTTTTTGTCGGGCAAGCTTTGGGCAGGAGCGACAGAGCAGGCACAGATCCTTGTCACAGGTGGCACCTTACATGGCTTGGGGTCCATGTGACTGGTTGAAGGAGCCCTGTGTGGACGGGGCCAGCAAGCTGGTTTTTGGCTTCATCTTGACCCTGTTCAGAGGGGAAGTTCTTCCATCTGCCTGGGGTGGGCAGTAGGGCCTGGCTTTTCTCAAAAACTGCTCTTGAGAACTTGAGTCCTGTCCCATGGAGCACAGAGAGGTGAGGTCATGATCTAGGTATCTCAACCCTGTCTCTACAAAATTTAGCCGGGTGTGGTGGCAGGCACCTGTAATCCCAGCTACTCGGGAGGCTGAGGTGGGAGACTCACTTCAACTCAGGAAGTGGAGGTTGCAGTGAGCCGAGATCACACCACTGCACTCCAGCCTGGGCAACAGAGCAAGATTCCATCTCAGAAAAAAAAAAGCAAAGCCAGGCATGGTGGCCCTGTGGTCCCAACTACTCAAGAGGCTGAGTGGGAGGATCGTTAGACCAGAAGGTTGAGGCCGCAGTGAGCAGTGTTTGCACCACTGCACTCTAGCCTGGGCAGCAAAACAAGACCCTGTCTTGAGATGATGATGCACCTTCGGGAAGACTGTGGAGCTGATGTGCGTGAAAAGCTGTGTGCTGTGCACCGCAGAAAGGCTCTTGGGTATCTGTCTGCCGTACAGTCGGGCCTGGTGGGTGTGCTGAGGCCTCCAATGCTGCTGCTCACCAGTACTGCCAGGAAGGGGCGGGCCCAGCTGGTCCTGGCTGAGGTGCAACAGAGCTGAGCGGCCCATTATAGGAACAAACAAGCATCCTAGGCGCTGGGCAGGAGGGGGTGAGGGGCTGTGAGCACAGAGCAGCGAGCTGGAGAATGCTGGGAGCTGCAGGTGGGAAGAGCTGGCTCCTGGGCAAGTGAGGCAGCAAAGACTAATCCTAACACCCATGCCTTGGTTACTTCCTGTACTGAGCACCCCACCCATAAACACGGATGCTCCTGGCAAGCCACACAGTGTAGCTGGTAGTGTCCCTGCTTTTCAGGTGAAGGAACGGAACTCAAATTGCTCCCAGCTAGCGAGAGGAGCTTCAGAGAGTACCATTACCCGAGGCGCCTGGGTGAGTGCAGGGGACAGGCTGGGTTCTGTGAACTGTGGCTGGGTTCTGTGAACTGTATCTGACACGTGCCCTGCAGCTCACAGCAAGAACTGCTCAGGATCTGGGGTGTGGCAGCAGCCGGGTCAGACTGAAGTGCTTAGCACCAAGAGACTGGTGGAAAAGTGTGAGAAGACTTGTGTTTATCATTTAAATTGAAACTACATTTTTGCATTTTAGTAAAATCTGAGGTTGTACAGTTTAATCTCATTTCCCACAGAACACCCGGCAGGCAGCCCCTTTTCTCTTAGAAACATCAGACATGCAAGCCGTGAAGTCTGAGACACCAGAATCCCTTGGGTAAGTGCACAAAATGCGGGTTTCTTTAGAGTAAGCCTCTCATCAAGAGCGTTTTCTTTGCTGGCATAAGGGGACGGCTGTGCCTGCCAGGCCTAGCACCTGGGAGGGCTGCTGCACAGGCAGACAGAGCCGCAGGCACCGCCCCACCTGCACATCTGGTGGCTCTGAGGCCCGAGGGCCACCACCTGCAGCTGAGATGCTCGTCAGACTAGAGCCACCTGGGGGCTGGAGAGGAAGAAAGATGCAAAGGAAAATCCACAAATTGCCTTCCTGAAGATGGTCCCGAGCTTGTGCCTCTGGGCTTTAAAAAGGGACGAAGACCCTTCAGACGTGTGAAGGGGTGCTGTGCAAAGAAGGGACCAGGCGCGACCTGTGCAGCCATGCTGGCTGGAATTGACGGAGGAAGTCTACCTCCTCAAAAGGTGGTGAGTCCCAGAGTCCCCATCACCATATGTGTGAGCAGGGTAGACAGGAGGGGAAGGGTTGGTGCAGATGCCATTTTAAGGTATTTGGGGGAGGCAAATGCCACCTTCCCCAAAACGCTCCCAGTTCTAGCCAGCATGCATGGCAGTGCCTTTCTCGTCATCCTTATGTTAGGGGGAAAAATAATTAGTAATAAAATGTGGACTGAGTCTCTAGACACTTACCACAAGGCAAATGTGATTCATTCAATCCCAAGAAATGTTTTGTTAAAACGTGAGGCTCATCGTGGCCATAAGGAGGTCTGTGAGGTGGAGGTCCCGTGACTGATGGTCTGTTTCTTCTGGAAACTTCCTCCTGGACACTCAGCATCACCATGAGTCATGCAGGTGACGGCCCAAGATGCCTACAGCTTCAATCACAGGGGCCATTTGTAGGAAAAGCCAAGGGTCTTACCTTGGATTCGCATAGGTTGTAAAATAAATCACGTGGTCATGCATCCTAGGAGATCCACCAGAAGTGGACGTCACTGGTTCTTCAAGGGCCGATGCATCCACATTCCTCAGCTTCCGTGGACCAGTTCCTTCCGATTGACTTGATCCTCAGGCTCCTCGGATGGCCACATGGCGGTCACACACGTGTGAGCCTTCCGTGGGCTTCTCGGGAGGACGGCTGAGCTGAGCTGGGTGTGCCAGGTCCATTGGCATGTCTCTCCACACCAGCACATGGTCCCTGGCGACAGCTTTGAGAGGGCTGTGCCCTCCAGGAGGGGCCCATGCCATGCTCTTGCCTGGCCCAGTGGCAGTGGGTCCTGAGGCTGCTCCCTAGTCGTCCTCTCAGCAGCCATGGTGTCACGGGGCCGGCAGTCACACGTTGAGAATCCGCGGCGCTGAGGCCTGAAAGATGGCGGAGGGGTTAGGAGTGAACTTCTTCCTCACCTCTGGGACCTGAAAAATGAAGTGTGGCCACATGTCAGTGCGACTTTTCCTTCACTCCCTCCCCCACAACACCTGGAAAGAATCCCCTCCCGCCCTCTTCATCCTCCAGGAGTTGAGACCTGAAGGGCCGGCGGGGACTCGCGCACCGTGAGCCGCAGGCATCGCTGCGTGAGGGGCTTGGTGACACACGGACCTTCCATTCTGCTCCCGGAACCACCTGGGATGGGAATCGGGGAGCTCTGTTCCTGCCTGCAGCTCCCAGCATCCTCCAGCTCACTGCCCTGTGCTCGCAGCCCCCGGCCGCCTCCCGCGCAG